AGAGTATATGTATTAAAAGATATTACAAGGTAATTAATAATTATAGTTTTATGAATTAATTTAAGTAAAAATATAAGTTTATCTTTAATTATATAAAATTAAAAAAAAACATAATTATGTTTAGGTATTGGGTAGTGAAAGAGTGGTACCTGAACTCGATTATAAATTACCTTAACTTTATATAACCAGATCGAATACCTACGATACCCTATAACAAAATATCCATTATTATTTATACTTTTACAAGGAATTGTTTTTCAAAAAACAATTCTCATCAACAACTATTTTTATTATCATAGTCCATTTGAAAATTATTTTTGTTCATATACTAAAATATTATTTTATGTAATAGTATAGAAATTATCAATTAAATTTCACCACCACGAATTATCGATAAAAACATTATTACTGTCTTTATATATAGCATATAATTTATAAAAAAAGAATGATCAAAGCCTATTAACTACTACTATTTGTAATAACAACCATGACAAATCAATTGTTGTTCAAAAATGTACTATTTTCAATTAGTAACCAAACACAAATCAGAGTATTTTTTATTGTTTTGGAAAAAGAATTCCAACGTGGCCATCCAACCCTATTCCGCAATCCCAACAAGACCCCTTTATAATGCCCTGGACCACTTGCGCTGCTAATCGTGCTTCAAAAGCTAGAAATACTAAATCAGCACACAACCAAAGCAACACTCGCATTTCATTTTCATTTTCACGCTTTCTCTTCCTCCTTTATTTTATCGGCTTTTTCCTTTTTCTTGTACTGGCCGTCGGCAATTTTTTCGCAGGAAAACCGAAGCGGTTTACCTGGGAAAAAGATGGAGTCACCGGCCACTGATGATCTTTGCGTGAATTTCCAAGGCAGTAACGATACGTCCTACTGCACATAACGATTACGCCATGTTATAAATTTTTAGAAGTAATTAGTTTCGACCTTGAGATGCTTAAACGATACTAGCACTTACTTGGAACGCAACTTCGAATAAATTGTCTTGTTTGGAGACTGCTACATCTAAGCCAATGAGGCATGGATACCAGGGCTCAAGGCTTAATCCCAGTTGAATTCTCTATTTTCCATTGTCTACCCCTTTGGAATGCAAGGCAAACAAAAACAGTTGCTATTTTCGGTTTCCTTCTAAGTGCTTGTTTACCTTGATTTTCTTTTAAAAATTTATCTATCTTTTAAAAATAAGAAGTAGCTTAAATTGAATTGCAATTGTTTTAAAAAATAAAATTTTTTTAAAAAACTTTTAAAAAAAGCTTTATCTTTTTTTTTTCTTTAAAAAATGTGCAAAATTTTCAAAAAAATACTCATTTCTCTAAATCAATCTCCCTCTCTTTTTTTTTTCTTTGCAAATCACCTTTTCCAACATAAATTGTGATCTTTCAGTCCTTTATCTCTCTCTATAAAGATTATTAAAATAAATAAATAAAAACTCAACAACAAAATAACAAAATCTATGATTTTTTGTTTTTATAAAGTTTAAGAGAAAATAAGATTCAAAATTCAAAATTGCATTTAAAATCTATGATCCAATTGCTTGTTAGATTAATAAAAATCTAATATTATTATTATTATAAAAGTTTGAGAATTGTTTTATTTTTTTATAATTTTTTTTTAATTTTTACATATTAAATTGTATATAAATTTAAAGTAGATTAATTTTATTTTAATTTATTAAGTAATTAAAGATAATATGAATACCCTTAATTATAATTTTAATTAAAAAATGTACCAAACAAGTTCTAATTTCTTATTGTATTTAGAGCCTTCCAATATTTTTAACTCTCTTTCAACCTTAACATACTAAGAGTTCGTTTCTTTGTTAAACTCTTCCCACTTTGTATTAACTTGGATGGATTCGATTAACATCTTGTCAAGGAAAAGGTCCCGCTATTTTACTTATGGAACAGTCATTCTCAAAAAGTGAATTGCCTGTGATTTCCCACAAGCTTAAAGAAATAGTTGATGATGAGCAAGATTAAAAAGTTGACACCTGTTTATTTATTAATTTTTTAAATATATCTTATTAAACAACTTGTCAACCCTCTAACCTTATTGGTAGAGTCGTCATTAATGTATAATATGTATAATTTTGAGTAAAATACATTAACATTTTTAATTTTCAACTATACTTATACTAGAATTTAATAATTTTTAAAGTAGGCATTTTGTTTTTAAAAAATATTTTTATTAAATATATAAATCTTATCATTAATCAACTGTTGATGTTTTTGTTAGTTTGATGATATAGTAATTTTTTTAAGATAATTTTACTTTTTATTAATTTTAAAAATTATCACTATATAAATTATTATTTTTATTTTTTTTTAATTTTTTAAATCTTTCTTGCCACCTGCAACTGACAATACTCCTTAAGGGAGCCTAACTGGGGCTCCCCAAGGAAGCACAAGGTGCTCCCTAAGGGTAATTAAGGAGATGGGCAGCCAATTGGCATAAGGGAACGCTACCAATTGGCATAAGGGAAAGAAAAAAGATGAAAAAAAATATTTTAGATATTTTATTTTTGGATATTAATGCTATTTACAAGTTTAGGATGAAATGTTTATTTTAAAAATTAATAAATCGTGTGTAATTATAATTAAAAGTTAAAAATGTTAATATATTTTACTTTACAATTTTTGATATAGCACTAAAAAATAAAAATATGGGTCCACTTTCATGGGCTATGAGATGGTCCAGTGTAAGTCCTAGGGCTTTATGGGCTACCAACAAAGGCTCATCACAGGCTAGCATTCATGATGACAGACAAACACCGCCTGCCAAAGAAAATGTTGTTCTGAAATTAAAGGGTCCGCCCGCTATTTATTGATTTTTGTGGTGCAGTAGAAAACTATTATCAGTCATTAAGACTTTAAGGGAGTACGTCAGAAGGCTAGTCAGGCTGGCAATAAGTCTAGATTCGAAGATCCTTATCCAGGGGGACCAGGCAGTTTGAAGAATATACTGTATATAAATGTCTTCTTACTTAATTTATTGCATGCAGTTGAGATTTTTTTTAGCATTAAGCTTAGCTTAGTTTATACAACTCACAAAAAACTTCAAGCTTGCCCTCCAAGAATGCTATAGTTTATTCCTGCAAATTTTGCAAGTGGGAATTGCTCTCCTACTCCTTAGAAAGACAAAGTTATGGTCTAGACACATTATCACCCTGTACTTAAAGCATGTGTTAATGCCATGTACTTCAATTTAGTTTAAGCTTAGCTTAGTTTATACAACTCACAAAAAACTTCAAGCTTGCCCTCCAAGAATGCTATAGTTTATTCCTGCAAATTTTGCAAGTGGGAATTGCTCTCCTACTCCTTAGAAAGACAAAGTTATGGTCTAGACACATTATCACCCTGTACTTAAAGCATGTGTTAATGCCATGTACTTCAATTTAGTTTAAGCTTAGCTTAGTTTATACAACTCACAAAAAACTTCAAGCTTGCCCTCCAAGAATGCTATAGTTTATTCCTGCAAATTTTGCAAGTGGGAATTGCTCTCCTACTCCTTAGAAAGACAAAGTTATGGTCTAGACACATTATCACCCTGTACTTAAAGCATGTGTTAATGTCATGTACTTCAATGTAGTTTTATTGTATTCCAGTTGAGAATTTTTTAATCAAGCAGCTGCATTTCAAGCAATATATCACCAACAACTGGCTTTCTCTTTTTGGCAGTCCCTAAAGTTGTTGAAATCATTAACAGAAGAAACCATGGAGCTCTTCACGTGTGGATATGAACATATACATTTCATCTTTTATCAGCCCAAAATACAATCCAGCGAATGTGATAAAGACACCCATTCCCTGGAATTGACGCTGAATATCTAGGCACCCAGTTTGGCCTCTACGGGCATCTCTTCTTCTTGGTCTCAAAATATTGACAACCGTCACAGTATCATTTTTTAATTCAGGAGAAGTCAAAGCATATATATTTATATATAATTCATAGACGTGCCTGGAACTGTGAAGGAAATTTTGTGGAAATGCCTGAGCAAACCTCCCTGCAGTCCATACTTCAACAGAAAAGTCACCTATATTGTATGTTATTAGAAAGAAAAGGTCAAAGAAACATTGCTGGTGAGTCATTATAGTTGACCGGTATACCAAGTGGAAAAGCCGTAGGAACTAGGAAACTTGCTAAAGGTCATAAGAAAATTTCCCACCAATTTGATGACAGTTGCAAACATTTTTCTGTATTGACTTGCAATATTTCAGGTCTTCTTAGACTGATTTGTTCTGGTTTATATCTAAGATTACAGAATTCCCGTTTGCCAATAAGCAATCCATCTGATCTCAAGCTCTCTCCATATGGCACCGCCATCCCCAAAAGAATTCATAGAAACAGCTCTTTTGGCTACCAACCCTTATGCTCTATCGTACTCGGACTCTAAACAGAAGTGGCTTATACTACGACATCTCCTTTCGTTGCTTCAAGAGTACCCTACTTTCGGGCCCTCAACTGGTAGATTCCTGCACAATGATGGAAACGAAGTGAACCTTCTATTTGCCAGTGGCCATGTCCAAGTCTCCAACTCCACACCTTCCGTTCCTCTCACCATTTGGCTCCACGAAAACTACCCTCAAAAGGCACCTTTAGTCTTCGTTTCAGTTGACCCCATGACCCCGATTCATCGCCATCATCCTTTCGTTGACACTTCTGGAGCCACATCACCGCCTTATATCTTAACCTGGAAATATCCTCCATGCAACCTTTCTGGCCTTCTGCACAATCTTGTCCGGCTCTTTAGCCGTGATCATCCTTTCTCATATTCCCCGCCGACGACTAGTTTCACTCACCCTTCTCTTGTTTCTAGAAAGGAAGCTTTTGATAGACTTGTAGGCATGCTTTACTATGACATGGTTGCCTTGCAGGCCAGCACAGTTGAAGAAATAGAGGAGCTATCCTTGTTGCAAGAAAATCTGATGAAGCGTGACCGTTTCACCACAAGCATGATTTTGGAGATGGAGCAGGAATGCAAGAAACTGAAAGAGAGATCGAACAATTGGGCAGAAGAAGCTGATAGGTTGGTGAACTGGTTGAAAGTTAATGATCGAAGACCACTAATGGCCCTGGATGCTGGAGATGTTGAAATTGAGGATGCATTTGAAATTGATGAGAACTCAAGAATGAAACTTGATTGCTCGGCCGCAGATTTTGCCATAGAGGATGTGCTCTATAAATTGGACAAGGCACTTGAACTCGAGGCTGTGAGTTTCGATTCATATATTAAGCAAGTGAGGAGCTTGGCCAGAGAGCAGTTCTTCCTTAGAGCTTCAGAAATGAAATTAAATGGCCTGGACATACCCCATTAGCCAAATTGACTCGAATATATTTTTCTCAATGTACAGTTATCAATAATTCAACTTTTTTTTTGGTTGGCTTTTTCCTATGTATCGTGTCTCATACAATATCACCACTAATATCATCATTCACCTGGATAAATTCAGTGCACCCGAATCCAGCAAGTTTTATCAGGATACACCGAGATGAAATTAGAATGGCATATATAGTTGTATAACTTTTTTATTGGAAGTGACCAGTCTAATCCAAGTAGACAAAAGGATGAGACAGGAAAATATATATATATATATATATATATATGTATATTTCATATAAATGTGTAACTGTTCAATAACTTTAAAGGTCTAAAGTTGAATATTTAAATGAGATTTTTTTTATTGAAATTAAAAAAATTATTAAAATTTTATTCTTCTAACTTTTTGAGATGCCAAATTCTAATTAAATTAATTTTATAATCAAGTTTTTCTAATATTTTTTTAATTGATAATATAGCCAATCTAGTTAATCTTTCTTGAGACATTATTAATTTTAGTTTGGAAAAACATTTTTCTATTGAAGCAACACTGGCCACGGCTTAGCGTTTAGAGGAAAATGGGTAATAACCAAGTTTATGTTGTATATTGTTAGGAAAATTTAAAGTAAGGGATTATGCTCACTTTTCAAAAGTTGGAACAAATAAAAAAAATGGAGCCATTTTTCTAGCTTATGGAATTCAAAAACGATTGGTTTTCGACACCTTTGTTATTATAAAGGCGCATCACATGGGTCTTGGATTTTATTAGCCATCCAATTTCATATCAGAAAGGAATTTTCAAAAGTCGGTAAACTTCAAAAGAGTTGAGCATCAAGTTCATTGTGATCTCTTCTGTAGCCTTCGCCAGTTCACCTTCTAATAAATTGACTATACAAGAATATCAGGGGAAAGCTAAGCTTGCTTCACAAATATTGATATCCTAATAAACATGGATTGTACATATTTTAATAACATTTGCCACAAATGTCTCTTATAATTACAATATTAGCTTATATATATATATATATATATATATAAATAAACTTCAAGCTAAAGCTAGGCAACTCTTTCCACTTACTATAAAATTTAGAAGGTTGCCAGTTCTGACCGCTTCTATCATTTACTTTTTAGTGCAGAATGGATATTTGGATTTTTTTTTTCAATTGAAAGTTTTTGTTTGACCAGGGGTTAGACTAAGGAACTTTAAATTTGAGTTGGATATACACTGATAAGATAGGCGGCATTTGATAACCTAATCTACTCTTTTTTTGAGTAAAAACAGAAACACTGTTTTCTTTTTTTTAAAAAAAAAAACAAAAATAAAACACGTTTGGTAATATTCTTGTTATAAGAAATTTTTAAAAATAAAAATATGAAAACATTAAAGAAATTTCCAGTTTCATCTTTACCTTAAATACTTAGACCAAATAGGCAAACGTAAACATAGTTATCATACTTCATAGAGAAAATGACTTTTGCAGAAACTCAACCAACTTTTAAGGCTTTTTCCAAAAATTTCTTTGAACAAGTACCTTCTATTTACAATAATTTTATTTATTTTGTTCTTCTTGTTTCTATTCTCTTTTGCTCCAACACAACTATCATAGTGGTAGGGAAAGAAAAGAAAAGAAAAAATTTATTGCTACTTTTACTTCTCATGTCATAACATAGCTTTCTCCTACAAGAGAATACTAACTTGTTGCCTTTTTTAAATGTAGAAGGATAATTTTTTTATTTATTATTGCTTGTAAATTATTACATTATTTAACTACAATTACTAATATTCCAAAGGGTCATTATAACATGTCACACAATGACTTTACTACTTACCCTCACATTAATATTATTATTCTTTGTATGATAAGAATACGCCACCTTTTGCTAATATAACTTTATCAAATATATTATTGGAGATTTTTTATTATATGTTTAATGATTTATATGTGTGTGTGTATTCTTATTTGTTGTATTTGGCATAAAGATGGGAATAAACAAACAAATATGAGACAAAGATAAGAAAAAATAAATAAATTTGAAATATTATTGATAATGAGTAAATACTTATTTGGTCCACCAAGTTGGATTTTGCTTTTCACCTCATGGCCAAGACTCATTTTACATCAAAACTCCACTATGGTGAGCTTGACAAGGCTTCTCTGGGAAAGAAAAGGAAGAATATTTCTATAACTACCCTTTTTAAGAAAATGTAACTAGGGAGAACTGGTGAACTACTTCCTGTGCTTGAAAATTGGGATGATAGTGTCATTAAGGAAGGAGGAGAGGATTGCTTATGGGAAATAGTGCATGCAAAACAGGTAGATAAGCATCCATGATCATTGGGACTATATTTGTAATAAAGCCGCCCCAATTAAAAGGTGTTCCATCCCAAAAGCGTTAGTATTGAAGTTCAGATTTGAACGTGGTGAATTCTCACTTTTTGTCATCAAATTTGGATTTAACTCACTCTAGGTCCAAGATTAGGATAAATGGGTAGAGAAAGTTTAGAAGAATTTCACTTACATGACTGTTCTCAACAATGTTGGAGTCCTTGATACTATAAGAGTCACCATTAAACTCTATGTTTGTAGGTAGACCAGAATTGAAGTACAACACGCTATTCTTGCAAAGTGGAGTATCTTTTCACATACTATGGTTACTGCTTAAGGAGAGTTTACTTTTTTTCTTGAAGACATGCGCATTCTTTTGAAACTTCCTTGTATTGGTAGAGATGACTTTTTTTCCATTATACTTTCTAAAGAAGAGGAGGGTGTTAATGAATTCTTTATAGACTTGTTTAAGAGTCAAATTAAAGTTTTCAAAGTGGTGCGCTTTTTTAACTAGGTGTTGGTTCCATTAGTTTTTGATGATAATAAAATATTCTCATTCTTTTATGTTTAACTTTACTACTTGAGTGTGTAAGATAAAAATGTATATCATTAATAAATTAATAACTCAAAAGCAAATATCAAAACTCATAAGAATAAGGAGCTACAATTGAGCCACAAAATAAAAGCCTTTTAGTCAGATAACTAAGGGAGTCAGTCAATTAAATTCAAAAATGAAGTTCGTCGGTACAGAAACAAAAAAGACTTAGTTGACCAAGAAACATGGTTAGTTGACTAAGTACTCATTGCTAGAAACTTCAATAAGAAAATAGAAAAGACTTAGTCAACTAAGAAGTATTGTTAGTCGACTAAATGCTCACTACCAGAAACTGAGAGCAGAAGACAGAAAAAACTTAGTTGACTAAGAAGTATGTTTGTCAACTAAGAGCATATTGTTTGAAAATTTGAATTTGAACACTAGAAGACAGACCAACGGCTAGAACTGTCTCCCAACTATTTCCAATAGTCAACAATTGTTGAACATCCATTAGAGTTGGTTTTTTAAGTATATAAAGCACTCTTAATGGCTAAGAAATACAAAAGATGCTTCCAAGATCAAAATAAGCTAAAAATAATAATAAAAACTTTCTCCATCCTTTCTGCACTTCACTTCAATCTTTGTAATAGAGATAAGCACTTTATTTTGTACCATTCAAATTAAGTTAGTGATCATAAGTACTTTCTTATTTATATTCTCCTTAGTTACTTAGAGTGTGCGAGTTACTCTAAGAGAATTAATCAAGCTTGGGTTAGCTTAATTGGTTATATAGGTTGTAACTCAGCTTAAGAAAGTTAGTTTTGGGTTTTAGTTGATCCCGGGGAAAACCATTGTTAAAGGTTGTTGTTGAGCCTGTGAAAAGCCATTGTAAAAGCTTAGTGGGAGTTTAGAAATTTCTCCGTTTATAATGATTTGGTTTGAAAAATCTTTAGTTGGAAGATTAAGGTAATGAATATAGGTCTTTGACCGAACCACTATAAATCTTTGTGCATTATTTACCTTTTTTATTTTTCATTTCATTTTTCTTTAAATCATTCATTTATTCAGCATTTAACTTCTTATCATTGACCTTTAACTGGCCCTCAATTAAAAGTCAAGTTTAATGACGTTCAAAAAGTACTATTCACCCTTTTTCTAGTATATATCTTTGGGACCAATACTAAGTAGGGCTTTTCTATAAAAAGTTTAATATTAAAGGCCAAAGTAATCCTTTTATGCATCTAGATCATGCACAAGAGTTAGTGGCTTTGTTAATCATGTGGTTGGCTTGATATGTCTTCTCAAGTTGTTTAGATGATGAGATATCTTATTTAGTTATTCTTTATGAGATCAAGTTTGCTAAGGGTATGAGTTTTCTTCGTGCTCCACTATACTTGGGATTTTTGTATAAGAGATTAGACTTATATCACACTAAAACTGCTAAATCAATTGACTGCTATAGAGTCTTGACTTAAGTGAATGTATCATTCTTTCAGATGTATCATTCTTTCAAGTGTGTTTGTGGGAGAGATTCCATAGTTGTGCTCCCACTCTTAATGTGTATCAAGCTTTTTTGTCTTCCTCTACAAATAAAGCTTTAAGGAACAATTATAGTGCTTAAGCATGGTATGACCAAACTACTAAAGACAACATTCTTAAGGTGTTGGATAAGGTAGATCAATTTACTGCAAGGTCTAATGTGATATCAAATAATGGTATTGGTGATTCAACTATTTATTATGACAGATGACCATTTAAGACTGATAAACTGAGCTCGTACGGATTGAACTTCTTAGTGCGGATTAATTATTCTCAATCACCTTCCATGATTGAGACAACTAATTCAAGTGCTGATAGGAATTCATTGTCTATCGAAGTATACTTTCCTTATAAAGTGGCATGTTAATTTAGATATGATCAACCAACTCCACCTAGACCTCTTTTCTTAAAACTTTCTCTATTTGTACTTTCTTATTTCTAATTGGTGTGCTCAAGCATAATGTGGATAAGTTTAAAATTACGTTGTCCAAACTTTTAACAGAATAGGTGTTTACACTACTGGTTGGTATGCTTATTGAGGAGACTATCTTCTGGAATGGACCTCATTTGTTGTGCCTACTCTTAAAGTGCAATTGCATGCTCTTTCCATTAGTAGTAGTGATGTGTCGCTTCACTTGATTCACTCTAAGAGGAACAAAACTTCTTGTCAGTTAAGCATGTTTTTTACTTTCTTCATCTCCCTTTTCATTACGTTCTCATCTAGATATTGAACTTATTTTTTCTTTTCTTTTTAAGGGAGAGTCAACTCTAAGTGCAAAGATATCTTAAAGT